GCATGTCTCAAGATTTCGTTCCAAAAACGAGTCAGGGGGTACTCAGTGAGAGCCTAGGGAATTTTTTCTGAAAACATTCTCCCACTAGAGAGCGAATTTCAATTCTACGGCAAATAATTGACTTTCAATTCACTTCTGACGTAAGAAAAATTACTTTATGGAAGATCTGTCAGCATGTCTCAAGATTTCGTTCCAAAAACGAGTCAGCGGGTACCCAGTGAGAGCCTAGGGAATTTATTCTGAAAACATTCTCCCACTGGAGAGCGAATTTCAATTTTACGGCGAATAATTGACTTTCAATTCAATTCTGACGTAAGAAAAATTACTTTATGGAAGATCTGTCAGCATGTCACAAGATTTCGTTCCAAAACGCGCGAATTCAATTCAATTCTGAGATAAGAAATAGTTACTTACTTACATAAAAGTCCGGAAAATGATACATTACCGTCGAGGAAATTTTGAAGTGCGAGGCCCCTAGGGACCGAGTACTTTAATTTCCGGGTCAAGTAATGGCATTTTACTGACGAGTTTTGTATTAAATTTTACCCGAAAACATATTTTAATAAATAAGTATAAAATTTCAATTTTTACGTAGAACTTTTGATTAATGTCAATCTGGCAGTGATGACATGAGTCATTATTGACATTTAGCAATGTCACATTTGCGGCCGGTAAAGTGACGTTGCGGCCGGTAAAGTGACAGGTGCGGCCAGTAAAGTGACAGGCGGCAGGAAACGTAGTCTGCTCTGTCTCTGTCACGGAAACTCAAATTTCCTGACAGAAAGTAGGCATGAAAATGAAGGTTTCAGGGCGATTTTGAGTAAAATAACATTATGGAAGATCTGTCGCTCCTAACCTCAGTTTGTCTAAGATTTTGTTCTAAACGATTGAGAGGGTACTCAGCGAGCCTTGGAAATTTTTCCTGGAACGAATAGAATTTGGCTTCACAGACGGACCGACAAATGTAGGATTTTGTAATGAAACCTTCCAATTTGTCTCAATATCCAAGATGATATTCCAGGACGGGAATATTCCAAATCAATTTTAAATTAACTTCAACCACTCGAATACCCCGAGTCAATAATCCCATAACTCCCCGATATTTACGATGCATTTAAGTGTCACTCATAAAATTTCCGATATGTCATTGCAGGTCACGAAAAATGCACATTCCACCACGACTTGGAGTTGGACCACAACCCGCCGACACGCGAGGCGATGCTCCCGGAGATGTCTCGCTCGTACAGGCTACTTCTCTCCTCGCTGGGCGAAAATCCCGAACGCCAGGGCCTGCTGAAGACCCCCGAAAGGGCCGCCAAAGCGATGCTGTTCTTCACAAAGGGCTACGATCAAAGTCTGGAGGGTGAGTACTAATTTCATTCCGAAGTTGGATGGCTTTAACCAAATTAACGCCCGGCGAAATCTCGGAAGCCTCTTTAGCGTCTCTAATTTCCTGTAGCGCTAATTATTAGCGGCAGGCGGAAACCCTCTTTTCTCCTCAGACTGCTGAACTTTAATCAAAAGCTCCTTTCATTTTATTTGCTTAGTCGCTTGTTGCGCGCCTTAATTTCAACGACTCGAAGAACTATTGAAAGATAATGAGGGTAGTTTTCCCTCGGGATCAGGCGGACGTATCCATAGTTACGACATGAGCGACTTCTGATTTTTCGATGCAAAAACATGCATTAATTTACGTCGGCGATATCGGAAATCTGTCACGCGTCGTGAAAAGCGGATTACCTATCGCCGCATATGATTGAGTGTTATAAATGTAATTGTTGCGTGGGTGATACTGTGAGAATGGGGAAAAAAGAAAAGTGGACGGGGCTTCCGGAGCTTAAAAGCTAGAGCGCTCTTGTATAATGTCTAGCGCGCACCCCCATCGGCGTAGAGCTCGCGCCACCCCCTGGGAAACTACCCTCGAGCCTGTGCCGCACCGCTTTGACCGCGGACGAAGTTTAGATCTCGCCAACAACACGTCCATTGAATTAAATTACAATAGACATTTGAAATTCCTAAACGCTGATTTATTTTCCAGAAGTGCTTAACGACGCCATCTTTGATGAGGATCACGACGAAATGGTCGTTGTGAAAGACATCGAGATGTTCTCGATGTGCGAGCACCACCTCGTCCCCTTCTACGGCAAGGTCTCCATCGGCTACCTGCCCTGCGGGAAAATCTTGGGTCTCAGCAAGCTGGCCCGAATCGTCGAGATCTACTCCAGAAGACTGCAGGTGCAGGAGCGACTGACGAAACAGATCGCCGTCGCCGTAACCAAAGCCGTACAGCCGGCCGGTGTCGCCGTGGTCGTCGAGGGAGTGTAAGTAAACGCTCTACCATTCAATCGATCGCTCATATTTGACACTTTAGGCACATGTGCATGGTCATGCGAGGCGTGCAGAAGATCAACAGCAAAACGGTCACCTCCACGATGCTGGGCGTTTTCCGAGACGATCCCAAAACGAGAGAGGAATTTCTAAACTTGGTACACACAAAGTAAACGAGTGCCGCCCGTTTTACCATGACCTAAATCAAAAAATGGACCACGCTTTTTCATGTACTGTATGTTTAAAGGTATTATACACCATAAGAATAATTTGATATCTTTTACAAACATATTGGCCAAATCTAGTGTGTTCAAATATAATTATATTTTGAGAATATTTATTACTTATATTTATATTTGTTGCTCTGTGATAGTTAGAGACACATCGTCGTAAAAGAGTCTAAATTTTTTACAGGGTTGCATTGTATTCAATTTTGTTATAAAGTATAATGTATAAGTAACTAATGTTTATGCATTGTAAAATAATTCTAGTTAAATTTTATTAACGTTGACAATCTGTAAACATGGAATTTATTTTCAAAATATATGTGATTATAAACAAAGTATTTTTAGTATTGCAATACGAACGGCGATCAAAAGTCGTCAAGGACTTTCGAAATCTGACCCAAAAGTATTTAGGCAACACGTTACACAGTGCCCAATAAGAACATACATAAATCTTAGGGCGCATTTTATAACAGCGCGAACTATTTATTACTTCGGCGTTGAAATTGGAACTGAACTGAAACGCAATTTGCTTACTGCAAACTCGAGTTCTTTTGTGGGTGATGGGAAAAGACCTCCTGGACTATTATGTTCTCCTGGTAGCCAGACAAAATTTTACAATAATTTCCTGAACGACACTTCGTGTATTAGGAGCTGAAACACCTCCTCGCACATTATAACCTCCTGATACCAAATTGGAAAAGATTTAAAACGAAATTTGGCTTCAAAATATTTTTGTGGGA